AAAATCGATTTCGTCGAGATTTTAAAGAATTTATGCCTTTTTAATTCTCCATAAATTAGTCAGATTAATGACGACTTTTTCCTTGAATGTTATGAATCAACCTTTTTGTAAACATTGGATAATTTCGTCGAAGGAAATTGAAAGTACAGTGCTTCCATAAAAAAAAAAAAAAAAAAACAATTCGAAACATCAAAATTTACATGTAGGCAAAGAAGGGAGAACAAGTGTGTTCCAAATATTCCAGCGTTAACTTTTCTAGGAAAAATTAAAGTCTTAATAATTCACTACCAAACTTTGGAAGAAATAAGACTAATTAGAAGCCTTTCCAAAACAGGAAGATATTTACCAAAATGGATTCGTCTTAATGACTTGGAATGTGGCGCGAATGCAACACTCCGTGGGAATAACATTTACTGGAGTATCAGACAATTGTGAAAGCTCCTGTTTGATTTTCATTGTTTTTTGTTAATCAGAATTTGTAATATCCGCTACCATGTCGAATTGCTGCAGATTAGTTGTTCCATACTGAATTCTAAACCGAATAAATTGCAATAGCAAAAGAGAGCAAGAGTAGGCTAAAGTAAGCGCTATTCTGCATAGAATGATGGATGATATTTATAGTACTGATATTTATAGTACTCTACAAACGTAAGAGTTCTCCAAAGGAGGGTAATCATAAAACAAGTCTGATTTCTCCCGATTAATTTATCACAATATATATATATATATATATATATATATATATATATATATATATATATATATATATATATATATATATATATATATATATGAAATGAAAGATCAGTAAGATATATAATCCGGTGTTCTTATAAATATTTTATTTTCACAAAATAGTGCTAAATGTAAATTTACAGAGCATTAACATTATAAATTAATTGATTTAAAATATGGTTTTTCCGCTATACAGTTCTAACCATGTTTAGAACTGTGTAGCGGAAAAAACCATATTATAAATCAATTAATTTAATATATATATATACAGTGCTGATAAAAATATGCCGCCAATTTGTTTACATTGCGCAGATCAGTAAAAAAGTTTCAGTGATTGCGCAGGTCAGTCTTGCAAACATTGTGTCAAACCTTTGTGTGAATTGATTGGATGGTTTTTGAAATATTAGAAAAAAAAGTTTTCTCGATAATAATTTGGCACGTGGTGGGTATATATATATATATATATATATATATATATATATATATATATATATATATATGAGAATGAAGAAATATAGTCTTAAGTTGTGCTATATTTATGGGATAAAGTGGTCAATAACCGAGATAGAGCGTGTGTAAATATAAAAGTGAACATTGAAGTCAACACTTAGAGGTGACAGACTGTTTCATGCTAGACGCAATAGTCAGGCCACGTGGTCTGATGAATTGGCTCGTGATTAAGATTCCAATATAATACATTATAACTATGGACTATTAGTGTTTGAGCCTTTTATATTACGATATATTCTTGTTCTTTCCTGGACATTCAGCTCTACCTGGATTCTATACCTGGAAATTTATACATACATACATACTTTATATATATATATATATATATATATATATATATATATATATATATATATATATGAAGAAAATATCTGGAAAAAAAAAAAAAATCCTTAAAATGCGATTATGTTGTTTTAGTATGAATGAAATGTCGACGTCTGACGTTTCGGTTTAATAACCTTCTTCAGGACAATATTCCTATTTTTGTTTTGTTTTTCCATTACAATTATGATACGTTACAATTATGACGCAATTACAAATATACATTATACATCGAACGCTATTTGACAATTCAGATGCTTATAAAATCTGATTAACGAAAGAAAATCAAACTAAAAAATGACAATGCAATTAGTTTTCCATATCTCATTCCCTAATGAAGAAACAATAAAAGCGAAACATGTTAGATTTATAAACGTTTCTTACTTGGCTATCAATGTATGGGATTCCGTCCATATTTTATCTGTATTTGCCCCCAATTCATATTCTGAATGGTGAAGACTTAAGACTCCTCCATGTATGTATGAGTAAAAAGAAATTCATTATAGGAGATAATGAAAGGTTATTTTCCCTTAACGACGTTGGTTAGATTCAGTGACTCAACCCAAAGAGGTTTGAGTTCAATACCAGGCTACAGCAGTGCTGAACCAAAAAAAAAACTTGGAGAGTTGAGTTAAAAGGAAGTAACTGAGACATCCGGATGAGGCATGGTATGTGGAACTAGAGCAATCTGCCCCGGTGAACGACATAAAGTGATCGGTTCGAAATATTAATCACCTGAAGAAGGCCAGAGCGTAGAAACGACCGAAACATTGTGAATATGGCAGTGAAGATGAGGATAACAGTCCGAATCATGTAAATAATGTAACTAATCGATAGTTCATTTTTTTTTAATTATCTTACTCATATTTATACACATATACGCAGATTGGCAGAGATAGCTGCATAGACTTTATCTCGCATCTCAAAAAAATACATGAGAAACTGATGGTAGGTCGAAATTATACCGGGTACCTTATAGAATTTAATGTCCATCATTCCACTTCTATTTCTAGGCGCTCTGCCCATTCAGGACCATTGTGATCATGGCTCTCCACAGTTTCCTGTTCCTTGTAGCACTTAATATATGTTGTCTCTTTGTTCAATCCTAAGAACTGTTCCGTCATATTATAACAACCTGATCATCATGTTCGCCATTGTAGGATTCACTTTGTTCTCCCGTGGGAAGCTTGACTGTTGATCTCAACAAATGTCATTTTATTCTGATTTACTTCCACAGCATCTGAATAGGTTTCGTCCTCCGTAAGCTCAGCACTATTTTATGCTCTTTCATTCTTTACAATGTCACGAAATGATAAAAAAAATATCTTTTTAGGATACAATCATAGACTAATTGCAAATGTTTCAGCCTGCTAACAAACCATGAGAATTAAAAATAAAACTATTCGAAGCCATTGTTCTCTCGTTTATATATTTATTCGAACAGATTTTGTTGTTACTGAACTAGATTTTTCGCTGATATGAGGTGGTAATGTATACAGAATCCATCGTTAAATCTGCAGGTAACACATTTGGTTCACTGTGTCGAGCAAGACAATTTTTCTCGCCAGAATCTTACATATTTATAAGAAAACCATTCGTCCTTGCCGCATCTGGTGCCTTTGCTATATATTTAGAGACTTCTGATAAAATCCAAAGATAAATTTGCAATTTTATTGGTCCTGACCTGGCATCTAAGCATAAGTCACATTACCACCGCCGTAACGTGGATTTCCTGTGCCTTTTCTTTAATTACTCTCATGGTAATTATTCTGGGGTCTTTTCTCTATTCTCATGCTCTCTAAGTAGGTTATGCATTGTTTGCCCCTGTCCACCCTGCCCCAAGATATTAAGACCTTTTTATATATTTAGATCTGCATTAAATTTGATTATTTAATTTGCATCGATAATATACACAGAAATGAATAAAATACGTTCATACAAATTGTGTTAAAATTTCAACTTATGAGTTATCAATTTACACTATTTACATTATTCGCACTATTGTTCTCATCTTTGTTGCCATATTTATTTTACTTCAGGTGGTTGGAATGTCGAACTCAACTCTTTATTTCGCTCGATGGGGTAGACTGCTCTAGTTCCACGTGCCATGTCTAATAGATATCAGCTGCTGTTAATTCACCTCTCCAAGTTCTCCAGTACCTTAACCAGGTATTGAACTCACAACTTTTTGGGTCCTGTCACTGGATATAACCAACGCCTTTATCCACTAAGGGTACCTGTGTATGAATTTCTGGGACTTAATGTCATCAGTATCGATATTTACCAGTGCTCATATTGCAATTTTTGCTGTTATCATTTCATTTTTTTTAACCAGAGCTCATATTGCAATTTTCGTTGTTATTGTAGCTTTTCTCTGGCACTCCTTATTACTGCTTCCCATATTTTATTCATTTCCATGATACTTGGTGAATTAACTTATAACTGACATCCATTAGATATGGCACGTGGAACTAGAACAGTCAACACCAGCGTGCGAAATAAAGGGTTCAGTTCAACATTTCAAGCCCATAAAGAAGGCCGGAGCGTACAACGGCCGAACCGTTGTTATATGGCAACAAAGATGAGGACCGAATAATATGATAGTCCGCATAACGCAAATAGTGTACCTCATCTCAGAAATACAGACAGATACTGAAGGGCCGAAACGTTGTAATAAATATGGTGACAAAGATGAGGACAATAGTCCGAATAATGCAAATAGGGTACATAATACCTCATCTCAGAAATATAGACAGATACTGAAAGGACGAAACGTTGTAATAAATATGGCGACAAAGATGAGGACACTAGTTCGAATAATGTAAATAGTGTACATAATACCTCATCTCAGAAATATAGACAGGTACTGAGTTATCAATTTATATTGATTTTTACCAAATCTTGCAAACATATCCGGATACTAATTCTAACTAAATACTATTATGAAAGAATATAATAATTTTGTTGTAAAGCGACGTATTTTGTTTACAACTAAAAATATATTCAAAAATGTTCATGGAAGATAATCGCCTATATTGAAGTAAATTTTTTTTTGTCAGATCTCAGATAAAGACAATCTTCAGCACATGTTAACATGTTTTTTTTTATAAAAAAATATCTGTTTTATTCCTCTTTGTAAAATTTATCAATGATCGTCTTTGTCAACTTTGGTTAGTCGATTTTCTTTTAGCGATAAGTCAACATCTCTATGGGTTATTTAATGCCAAAATCTAAATATTTTGTACCCAACTTGTTTTTTGAGATAATAATGGTTGCAGTGACAAAAAATCTTAATAATTAACCCATAGCTTGGGGGAGAATAGATGGTTTCCAGCATTTCCCGAGGGTATTTGCGTGTAAATGAATATAACGAACCCAGCTCTCTGATTAACAATTCAGAGCCATTATCCATTACACCACTCGCACATCCAAGCTTTCAGCACCTTGTATTCCCAAGCGGTTCCCCATCTAGGTACTAAACAGGCTCGACGTTGCTTAATATCAGTGATCGTACGGGAACTCGACTCTCCGATTAACAATTCCGAGCCATTATGCATTGCACAATCCGCACATCCAAGCTTACAGTACCTGGTAATCCCAAGCGGTTACCCATCTAGGTACTGACCAGGCTAGACGTTGCTTAAATTTGGTGATCGTACGGGAACTCGACTCTCTGATTAACAATTCCGAGCCATTATCAATTACACCATCTGCACCTCCAAACTAAACAGCACTTGGTATTCCAAAGTGGTTACCAATCTAGTTACTAACCAGGCTCGACGTTGCTTAACGTTGGTGTTCGTACGAGGGCCGGTGTTTGAAAGTGATATGACCGTAAACCTTCTTTAACAAGGGCTAAGCGAAAAGCTAGACGCTTAAGAGGACCTTTTTTTTCTGGAGAGTAATTTTCGACATACCTCCGTTTTCCTATACTTTCTATTTCTACCATTCTTTTTTTTTTATTCTTTTTAGGTTTACGGACTCGTTACGTTGAAACATCTCTCCCCGTACGATCAAGGAAGTTAAGCATCATCGATCCTGATCAATACCTAGATGGGAATACTATGTGCTGTAAACTTGGATGTGCGTATCATGTAATGGATAACGCCTCAGAATTGTTAATCGGAGAGCCTGGTTCGAACTCTAATTGGGTTCGTTATATTCACTTACGCGCAAATACTCTTGGGAAAGGTATGAAGCGACATTTCTGCTCTTGATTTGGGTAAAAGATATAAGGAATTTGGATTTTGACCGTCGTAGCTCTCCACGTTTTCTTGTCTTTTTTATCTCATAATACAATTTGGCTTTTTGTTATTTCTCCTATACTTTGTCCTGCCATCCATTTACTCAAGCTCGCTAGGTATATGTTTTTTTTTTAAAATCATTTCCCCATAAGCACGGCAATAAAGCCACTAAGTCGCAAGATTAGTTACAGAGTGCTAGAGAATATGAAGAAAATATATTATTAAGTAGAGGAGACAAAAGAATTATGATAAAGAATTCGGAAGATAACGAACGACATGATTTTTTGAAGATCAAAGTTGACAGGGAAGCAAGAAGCAGGAATTGAGTTCCACATGCGAGAAGTACGATAGAAGAAAATGTTAGTATAGAACCTACGGTTACATCTCAAAATTTCAACTGTAAAAAGGAGGAGACCTTGACAACAATCTAGTATTGCGTTTAAATTCATAATTTTTGGTGGCATACAGGAAAATAAATAATAACACTATAACAATTACCATGAAATTAATTAAAGAAAAGGCACAGGAATTTACGTTACGGCGGTGGTAATGTGACTTAAGCCTAGATGCTAGGTCGGGACCAATAAAATTGCAGATTTATCTTGAATTTTATCAAAAATCTCTAAATATATAGCAAAGGCACCAGATGTGGCAAGGACGAATGGTTGTCTTATAAATATGTAAGATAAGATTCTGGCGAGAAATATTGTCTTGCTCGACACAGTGAACCAAATGTGTCAGCTGCAGATTTAACAATGGATTCTGTATATATTACCACCTCATATCAGCGAAAAATCTAGTTCAGTAACAACACAATCTGTTAGAATAAATATATAAACGAGAGAACAATGGCTTCGAATAGTTTTATTTTTAATTCTCATGGTTTGTTAGCAGGCTGAAACATTTGCAATTAGTCTATGATTGTATTCTAAAAATACATTTTTTTTATCATTTCGTGACATTGTAAAGAATGAAAGAGCATAAAATAGTGCTGAGCTTACGGAGGACGAAACCTATTCAGATGTTGTGGAAGTAAATCAGAATGAAAATGACATTTGTTGAGATCAACAGTCGAGCTTCCCACGGGAGAACGAAGTGAACTCTACAATGGCGAACATGATGATCAGGTTGCTATAATGCATCATCTCTTAACCTTTTCAATGTCACGGAGCAATTTACCTGAAAACTCAGCCTCTTATCTAATTTTCACTGTCGCCTTGAATCGGCTATCGTTCTTAGAGTTTGTTGCGTAAACGGGCGAGCGAGCGAAATAAACTCATTCCTTTCCACGCTGCCATTCACAAGGACAGAAAGAGGTATCTTCAACATATATTTGGTCGATATTTCTTTTCATGGCAGGCACAGAAAGAAAACTACAGGGTCTCCCACACAAAGTATTAAAGAAAAAGTGAGCAGAAAGGCGTAATCGTCAATTGTAAGACAGCTTGCATGGGTGTCTGCAATATGAACAGCCCATAATGCTAGGCGGTGCCATATGAAAATAAGTACAATTGGGTAATTAGTGTGGGCTGTGGATTCTTGATGCTCTTTAATAGAATTCAATAATTATTCTAGATTTTATCATGTTACAGTGGTGGAAATAAAAATTATTAAGGTAATTCTTGTTGGTGGATTTCTGTAAACTTCAATTTGAAGTCCGTTACTATTTCCATACAGTATCATATATAGTACGGTTAAAGTACGTTTAGACTCTGATTCAAAGGTAAAGTCTATTGTGGGTTCAAAGTGATTAAGTTTGGAGACAACAACGGGTAAAACTATGTTTTATGCATATATTTATAGAGGGTTATGTATGTATCTGAAATAAGATGTATTTTGTTGTGAAATATTTATCCAGTCTAAACATCAAATTATTGGAAACCGTACCCCAAATTATTACAGATATAGTATTTACATTATTCGGACTATTATCCTCATCTCTGTCTCCATATTTATTACAACGTTTCGGCCGTTGTACGCTCCGGCCTTCTTCAGGTGGTTGGAATGTCGAACTGAACCTTTCGCTCAAGGGGGTAGACTGTTCTAGTTCCATGTGCCATGTTTAATGGATGTTAGTTATCAGTTATTTCCTGTTAATTCCCCTCTCCAAGTTCTCTACTGTCATAACCGGGTATTGAACTCACACTCTTTGGGTCCTGTCACTGGATCTAAAGAGTGTGGTTTCAATACGCGGTTAAGCTTAATTGTCAGAGTTGAATCAAACCAGGAAACAGTAGTATTAAAAAGTGCTCAATACACGTGTAAAAAATATAAATAAAAGTCAAAATAACATGTAGAGCTTTTAACCTGAGTCAGGAGGCCAATTAAAATACGTGACTTTGGTTTTGACCCGACGGTTTTTTTGGATGATATTTTTAAAAAAGAAATATTTTTTAAAATATCGGCCGAAGAGACCACCAGGTCGAAACTATGGTTGCGTATTTTAATTGACCTCCTGATTTTTTTTATATATATATATATATATATATATATATATATATATATATATATATATATATATATATATATAGTCATACTCGTTAAGACATAGGAAAACCTGGTTATTAGAATAGTTTGTCTTTTTTTGTTCTGTTATTGAATAAAAACATAACGCCCCCCACACAAACACCGTTGTTGAGTTACGGTCTTACTTGGTTGATTTTTTTTTGTCACGTGTTCATTGTTGTTTTTATATTCTGTTCCATCCTTACCTCGTTGGCCAGTTGACGCTGACGATCCGTATAGGTGAATATATATATATATATATATATATATATATGTGTGTGTGTGTGTGTCCGTGAGTGTGTCTGTTAGTGTGTGTGAAGAAAAGACAAGAAATTTTTTTATGACAACGCGTTTCGTTCCTAGATGTACTTTATGTAGGCAAGAGTTCAAATATTATTCAGTAATCTTTATCTAAAGACAGAAATAATAAGGTAAAATAATTTTTGTATTCAAATACTGAATTCGAGAATGTTCTAAATTATTCTAGGAACTTACTTTATAAGGAAAGTTAAACTATGCAGGGCGTTAATTCACATTTTTCAGCCTATAAATCGAACATGAATTCATGTCTCTTCTCGTGATATTGATTTTTTAATGCAATTTATATGTATTTATTCATTTCTTCTATTTTTATTATATTTTGTTTACATGCACCTAATTAATTAATTTTTAAAACGTCATGACATGATTGTTTTCGTTTAATTGTTAATTTTTTTAATGATCGACATAGACATGTTAGCTTTCGAAAGGAGCATTTCTCTTAAAGCAAGGAATATTTGGAAATTGCAGGTCGTAATTTATGTTTTAGCAAGAATCATTAATTAACATGGCCGAGTGGTTAGAACCTTCACTTTCTCAGTTCTGGGTTCGAATTTCACCGCGAGTGATTTGTCAGGAAGGAGACTTCCTGATGTTATCGATCTGGGGGGAAGAGCATGAAAAACCATACCACGTGTTGACCCAATCCTTGTGATTGAAAATGGGAAGACGGAACACTTGGGGACCGTCGATAGCTGTGCTAGCATGAAGTCACAAGTCAACGTAGCCGAGGGTTTGAGTTGCTTGCCTTGGTCTGATTGCTGATCACGCTAGATAACACGCCCAGAAACTGTAACTAAGGTCTGCTCGGGCATAGTTGCAGTATAAATCACAGCTTGGGATTTGTGGGTGTTGAACAAACACAAAATGTGCCTAAGCGAGCGTCTGAATTAGGGATTGAATACCTGCCATAGTAGACGTGCATCCTCTCTCTCTCTCTCTCTCTCTCTCTCTATATATATATATATATATATATATATATATATATATATATATATTATTAGTGAACATATATATATATATATATATATATATATATATATATATATATATATATATATATATATAAATTCAAGAGAATAGAATTCAGGTAGAACTCAATGTCCAGGACAGAGTATGAATATAATATAAAAGGCTCAAACACTAATATTCCATGGTTATAATTTATTACATTGGAATCGTAATAACGATCCAATTCATCAGACCTACAAATTCAAAAAAAAAAAAAAAAACTTTCTATACCCGGGTATAAAGAAAAAAACAACTTTTTATACCCGGAGTTATATTTCCGATTTCTTTTTGAAGTAGATCTTATGAATTGAATCGTGAATACGATTCCAATGTAATAAATTATAACCATGGAATATTAGTGTTTGAGCTTTTTATATATATATATATATATATATATATATATATATATATATATATATATATATAGCGTATATTTTTGAAGTATATTTTCATTAAGATATGTTTCTGAATAATTTAGATAAGTTTTGATATTTATTTTCAATCGTATCCTCTCATATTCACATATTAAAGGAAGTGAGAAAATTAACATATTGATTCATTCATTCCAAGAGTTTTCGACATTAGCATAATGTCATTATCTGGGTGTTATTTTTTTTTAACCGATGGGCATTTCAAACTTAGTTACCTCTCCTGAGGTTTACATCGTGAAATCCAAATCATACAGTACATTTTACTTTCACAACCCCCCCATAAACCACCAAAATTAAATGAAAAAATCTGATCACATACAAAAAGACAT